CAATGAAGTTCCCCCACATCCCTCCAGAAGACCCAGGGGTTGTTCACAAACCAGCAAACAAGACACTTATTCATCACCTCCATTACTGGATAAGGAAGGGGAAGGGAGAAGACAACTGTCTTTAAGTCAGCATGGTTCCTAAAGTATGACAGTCAGCTGTTTTTACGCACCATCCAACTCAGGCTTGCTCAGAGCTTCCCCGTTTCAAAGGGGGTAACAACTATAGGCTGGAAATAAGCTTCGCCCTGTGAAAACTAGCTACCAGGTCAGTTGATATAATTTTGTATTGCCCTAACCCATGTTTTGTGATTCTCCCTAAATGCCTACTTCCTTTTAAATTACTTCCTTCTTGAATCCTAAGGATGCACTCTGTTCTCTTCTGACGTGATCTCTAGCTTTGGCAAAATACAACACCAAGGACACAGGTTCCCCACAAAGACATCACTGGTTAGATTGTTTAGAGCTTGGATCAGGCATTTCTTCTGGCCTTTCAAAAGCCTTTGTTCCTTTCAGGCCTGAAAACCATTTGCAGTTTTCAGCAGAGGTGTGCCATTAGTAGCACACACAGAGACAAAACCTACATGAGGTCATGTAGTCTATGTACATCATCCCATTGGGGTCCCTAAAATTTTTCAGCCTGTCATTGCCTGAACATGAACTGGAGAACTGGGCTAGAGCTCCTGCAGACCCAAGGGAACGTGGGGCATATAAACCTTCACTTGAGCATATCACACAGCAGGATACACACAGCTAAGGAGGCTTTTGGAGAAGAATCAGAATTTGCTGTGTACATTAAAAGCAGGTGGTACAAGGAGAGGAAGAAAGGCTGTCCTAGAGCCCAAGGATAGCTCTGTTCTTGGCAGCATTAATATGAATGAGATGGAAGCTCCTCACTCCACTGCATACATCTGCTTTCCTCCCTTCCACTTGCCAGCAGCTTATCCCTGGGAATTTAACAGGCTGGACTGCAAGCAAGGAGCTGAAAGGCACCACACTGTGGCCCCACACAAAAGGACTTTTATATTCCACAGCAGAAGCCTGCACAGCAATAGCAGAGAAAACAATGAACTGGGCAGAGGAGAGGGGAGACAGCACAGCACACAACATCACACTCCCAAGTTGCCACTGAACCAGGGCAGGGAGGATAGTCCTTCTCCCTCCTCAGATTTAGCAGGTTATTTAGTTCCACTTAGCAAGAGCAAAAACATGAAGAAACAGCTTTCTGTAGCTGTAAGAAGTCTGGCTGGCAGTTAGCAGCATAATTGTGTCTGGGGGTGTACAGCATTCAGCTACTGGCAGTGGCTGAGTCTGAAGAAGAGCTGGCACACAGGATGGGAATATAGAGAATATTGTTTAACACACACCACAATACTTAAATACCTAAAGTCTGCACTCTCATCTGGAGAGCAAATCTTTTCTTCATACCAAGGGGAGCATTAAGTCAGTCCCAGGGTCTTATTTACCCTGCAGGATAAGGCTTGGTCTACAACTAGCAACAGACTGCATGCAGTCTCAAAATCCAGCTGTCCTACAGTACCTTGACCAGCTACAATAAAAGCTTAAAATTCTACTTACTAAGCAATAGCACCATAGGGAAAAAGGTGCATTTCTGGTGACTCACTTCACCTTCTTCAGACAGTCTAAGCACACACTAGTAGGGTTTTTTTACTTATGTTCACAGAAGAAACACAAGGTATTTCAGGTAACCTTTTCTCTCGCTTGTCCTTATTCTATGTTTTCCAGGTCTGCACGACAACTCCTGTCCTTCCCCTCAGCACTCACCCATCTCTCTTCAAACTATGTTCTCGCCCTTGGGTGCTGCTCTACAGCAGAAGATGGAGCCATACACAGCCTCTTAAATGTAGATTTTAGTATGATGATGACTGCTGTCATTCTCAGCCCAGGAAATACACCACCATGCTAGCAAACAAGTGTGGATCCTGCATGGAAGTACTATCCACACACAGGTAAGACCAAAGTATGGAAGCAGGGGAGAAGACATTCCACTCGGCCCAAGTTCCTGCACCAAAGGCCAAATCACCTCAGGCTATACCACAGCACAGGTGTTTTGAACACTATCCTAGTTAAAGATGAGGTAGGTCTCTCTCCCTTTCTATGACAGACATGCCAAGTACTTCTGAGAGAAAATTGCCAGCAAACCTTATTGATGGAGGAGCCCTGAACTGGCACCACACATAAAGTTTCATATTCCATAGTCAAAACCAACTTAGAACACAGTCTTCCAGGTACCTGAACTTAACATGCAAGGTACGCTTCATCTACAGACACAAATATTTAACTGTCCTCTTTCCATTTAGCTGATGGATGTACTTCTAACTTTCCCTTTCAAAGTGCTAAAACGCCAGTGCTAAATGACAGGATCTTTGAGTTTCTGAACTTACTACAGTTTGCCACTGATCTCCTTAGCAACAAGCAGTCCATTTTTAGTTGGATTACTGCTTTTCTGAAAGTCAGTGTTTCCACATGTTACTGTGAAATTTGAGACACATTTTCATACCACTCACCACAAGCCTTCGTTACAGGAACAAGAGTTCTGGGGTTTGCTGGAGGAACTGGCCGCTGTCTCAAGACTTGGTGCTTTCTACCGTGAAACGCCCTTAGTGAGTTTTTTGTTCAGCACTTTCATCTACTGGAACAAGGGTTCCAGAGCCTTTTCCTATGTGTTTAAACACAACCAGGTAGGATCTTTCCAAGGCTAAAGGCTTCTCTACAGTCTTCCTCCCCACAAAGCTTAGTTTATAGGCAGCAATCACCTTTATTCCAAACACAGCTCAACTCAGCTGGAGTTAACCAAAAGTCGAGAGGGATTTAGTCAGCTTGTGCTGTAAGCTTTAGCAGCCACGAAAGTAGAGTCTGACAAACTGGTAGTCTACAAAACCACTAAACTCACTGCAGCAGATGAGTTAAGCAAGAAGGAAACCCCTAAGCATTAACAAGGTTTCTAGCTGCACAACTACCTTTATGACCATGCAGCCAGAAAAGCAATGCAAGGCAAGCCAGGGCAGGGCACATGAACAAACAAACAAACACCAACCAAAAAAACATGACCACCACATCCTCCACTATGTATAAGACTCGATGCAGAAGATAAAATACAGCATCAGTGACCAGGTTTGAAGTGTGCAGAGATGCTTATTGTTACAATTTTAATCCATACCTGAGCATGCTTTTCTACTATGAACTTAGTTTTGATCCCAGAAATTCAAAATGATGAAAAGCCTCTTAGGAAAGTTAACCACATGCTTTTGAAGTTTGAAATGACAGATACTAAAGTTTTTCTCACAGCACATTTTCCTTAACCGGTGACTTGGCTTCGTGGCTCTTAATTGGACAAAGATCACCATAAAGGAGATTGGATGCTACTGGTTACTCTAAAGGCTTGTTCTGAAGTAGCATGTTGAAGCCAACATCTCATACACTTTGCTGTGTCAAACAGCTACCACCGGAAGGACTGAAGTTACCGTGGTCAGCTACAGACTCAGAGAGCTCTAAGCACATCACTGAGAAGCACATCTGTTCTGAACCTGGAGAAACAGAGTTCATCTAAGGTTAGGGAAGTAAGTACTGACTGAATGAGTAACCCCAGCTCATTATTAAGAAGATCCTGATGTAGGGCCTATCAAATGGGTAGAGATTCCCACCCACTGACTACATTCACCACCCAACATACCTAGCGCAGCAGACAGAAGTCCTCCACAAGAGCCTGGAAGGAACAAGGAGCTCTGAAGGGAATGAAAGAGCAAGGCACCAGCAGGTTCCAAGACCAAAAGTGACCCCAAACAAAGTATTTGAGAAGCTGCCTCATCCAGCACATGGGGGACTTACAAGTAGGCAGGGTGTTTTCATACTGCAGAAGTCAAAGCAGTTGAGGATTCTGTGACTAATGTGCACTACTCTGAGCCTGCTGAGCAGTCTGTCAGCTGCAGCAGCCACTAAGCCAGAGCATTTCCGTGAAGGTGGGCTAGCCAGATGCGCAACACTTGGGCAAGCAAATTAGTCACGTCTCTCCTTGTCCAAGGTACAGGCAAGCCCCCCCTTGCCCCACAATGGCCAAAATCTCACTGATTCAAGCTAGAAGCAATTTACTCAAAAATAAAGGATGTTTGAGAAGAAAAAGATTGGAGGAACACAACTTCAAAGCCATCAACAACTAAGAAGTTTCACTAGAGAAAAGGTTAATCTCTCATGTGTAGGACATATACAATGCAAAGCACTGCTTTAGTTTACAGACTAGTCTCCAGACCAGCTGCACTTCAGTCCAATATAGGAAAGGGTCAAATGAGGAAAACAAGTAGCTATCACTGTTGCAATGCCTGCACTCTACGTCCCTAGGAAAGCAGTATTTCAAGGTACCTGGGAAGTAATGAGGTATACCCCATCCTTGAGCTCTTCTTTTAGTCCATCACTGGCAGCTGAGGAATGGGAGCAAAGTTACTGTTCTTGCTAGTGAGTCGGTAAGCACTGGAGTTCAGAAGCTGGTGTTAAGAGGTACATAAGCAAAGCTGCAAAAGACAGACAGTACAAACCTCCTGTCTCAATTAATCCAGGTTTTGTCCATGAACAAACCCTAAGCTATTTGAGCCAAAGCTGTACAGTTACAAGCCTAGGACACAGGAAGAGCTCTAGTATAAATCATGGTGTTACTGCACAGTCTGTATATTAGCTCAGTGGTATTGCCACAGACAGCCTCTCTTGGACAGAAACTACTTGCTACAAAGCAGGGAAACATCTGAATTGTTCTGTCACTACAAAAATTCACTTTGGAATTTAGCCAAGTGGGAAAGAGGAAGACAGGAACATTTCTACCTCAAGCCCATTCACCTACTATTACTATGAAACTTGAAACTCAAATTGTTTCTCCTCATGAAGCTAATACCTAGCTACAAACTTTCCAAAAGTCTTCTGAATCCTATTTAGAGTGGGTCAGAATTATATGTGGCATAATGACTATATTGATCTACCTTTACATGCAAAAGGTGGAAACAAACACTGCCTAAATGTTACTGAACAAAGTCAATGCATTATACCGAGGTAGCCATGCAGCTAGAAAGCCTGGTAATGCTTAGCAGCTTCTTTCTTACTGAGAACAGACAGCTCAAAATGAAAGGGCACCCCAGGGCAAAAACACACTGGATATCCTAAATTTTTTCTGCAAAAGAGTCAAAAGTTCACACCAGAAGCTCAGTGTGCTGCAACAGCAAAACCATTAGTCTGCTATGTACAGGAACTTTCCCTTCCCTCAAAAGACCATTGATGAAAGCAGCTCCTTTTTCAGAACCAGCATCATGGAGAAAATACTAGATTGTGAAGTCCGGGAGCATGACATAGCATAAGGGAGCTAGAAAACAAACAAATGTAACTTTTTTCTTATGTACCACATCATGGGATCCCAGAGCACCTAAGGATAGAAACTGAGGCAGAGTGAACAGATGAGCAGTCAGAGAGCCCTCACTGCTTAGTCCCCGTTCACAGTATCAGCAGGGACTGTCCCCGACACTGGACTGTCCCTTCACAGGAACCAATACACAGAGGGCTCAGCCATATGAAACATACTGGATATATGACAGCTGACAATATATTCAAACCTTTATCCCTATCATAAAGGGAGCAAGTTTAGTATTTACTGCCAGCTTACCAGAGGTTCTCGTGCTTTGGTTTGGTATTCAGTTAGTTTTCTATGCAAAAAAATCAATCTGTTTGAGCAGGTCCATATACAACAAGTACTTATTTTCCTTTATGTGTGAAGTCTCTTGCAAAAGAAAAGCTTTGAATTTTCCATCTGGGGGGGGAGGGGGAAGGAAGGGGAGATAAGACAGATGACAGTCTGTTGTGTATCTGCATTCAGAGACCAGATGAAATGTTTTCCATTGTGTCAGGAGCTGAATGGCTACCTCATTCACAATTAGTTCTCTTAATTGTAAGAGGCCAATGATTAGATTGCAGGACAGAAACTGGGATTAGGCTCCTGGACCACTCACATAGAAGTAGCCCTCAAAACTCCTAATTCATGCTAGAGACGGAAGACTTGGGACATCCCCAACTACTGCCAACTCCCTACCTTACTGCTCACAAGGTTCAAGCCCTGGCAGAGGGCTAGTCTTTCTACCACCCCTATGGCAGTACCACAGTGCCACCACCTACCACTGCTGTAACTAATCTCTTAGTCAAAGCCTGGATATCTGCTACTGGTGAAGCTCCAGAACATTCATTTCAGTATCAGTCTTATCAGGCACAAGCACCACTAGGCAGTAGAAAACAGTTTAGTTCTCATTCCAGTGAATATAATACATGGTCAATATAAAGAGATGGTATCAATGAGACCTTTTAGAAATAGCAAATGTTTAAAACTAGCTTCAGACACTTTTTTCCCCCCATTGTATTTCCTCTTCCAACTCCACCTACAATCCAATTTAACTGAAGTAAACACTGCCTCACTTATATTAGCACCTTAAACACTCAGTTCTGCCTTGTTTTCTCCCTTGGCAAAGTGTTTACTATGGAAAAAGCAAAGGAAAACTTCTGTTTAGACAGGTGTTGCGTGAAACACTGCAGGGAGGAGAACGGGCAGCTGTCTGAGAGCATGACACTAAGGAGTGAAATCAATTACTAAGATATGGAGAGCTGCCATACTGGAAATATGACTGGTTGCTTCTCAGAGAGAAGCTGATGAAGCCCAAATCTGCCACCACAATGTCAGTTTGCAGCAGAAGCCACAGATGACGCAGAACTGACTGAAAATATGTGCGGATTAAAAATGTTACTGACTTCAGTAGTATTGTTTCTTAGCACCTCATGCTTTGCTTGGATACATCAGAAGACAGACTGAAAAATAATCATGGGAAGCATCCACATGAAGAACACCCCCTTAAAAAAAACCAGTTCATTCTTTTATGAACTTGGAGGGTGTGTCACCTCAGCTTCACTGGCAAACACTCTTGAACTACCGAGCAGAATTCCATGTCACACACACTAATTTTGGACAGAATTCAGCTCTCATTTCTAGCAATCAAAATCTGTCCAATTTGAGACCGCGCAGAGCTAAAATATGCAGGAGTTACTACATAATAACACACAGACAGCTGAGAGTTACACTGCAATTCAGAACTTTCTTAAAAGCCTTTCTCCTTTTCCCATTATGAAAGGATGCTCTTTTAGTAAAGCCTAGGATCTCACTCAATTCCCTGCATTTCAGGGCTGGGCTACAAAGAGTAATACATCATCTAATGTTGAATCATCCAGGTGAGTACAAGAGAAAGTAGTAGTTTGTGGTTAAAGATCTAAAAAAAAAAAAAAAAGTAAATTTAAATTACGTTTGCTGGCCCCAAACGAAATAACTGACTTCTATGGGTGGATCAATCCTTAATTTTCTCTCTTCCCTATCACAGGTACTATGTAGCACCAGCCCTATAACACTTAGCACTACTGAACCACACCCACTTCTAACATATCTAGTCTGGTAGTTCCCTCATCTTGTCATTAATACAAGATCCATTTTACGTTTCTTTAAGCTATGAACTTACTGTTTGGATTTTTCTCCAAGGAGCAAATCCAGGGCCTTTAGAACTACAGCAGAGAAACACAGTGGAGATTGTTTTACCCATTGCAACTGAAAATGTCTCTGTTCTGCTGCTCCGACTCTGGGTTGCACTTGCCTCTCTGCTTCTTTTTAGCCAAAGCAGGAGGAATTTTGCCTAGGCAGGGAATGCAGGGGAAGGCTGAAGCACCCTATGCAGACAGCCCATCACAGTAAAGTATATAGATATATATATAAAAAAAAAAAAAAATCTATAAAGTATATCAGTGCACTTAAGGCTCCCCCAAGGCCTGATGGAGTACAGAATATCACTTTACCCGCACTTAAGAGTTGCAGCAGCATTTGAAATCCAGCTAACCCTCTCCTGTTTTAGAGACCAACTCATCTCTGGAATCAGTTACACAATGATTGCAAGTAAGTCAAACAAAAATAGCTTACTAGGTCCCCCATAAGACTTTTCTTACTAGTTAGGACTGCAGATATATGCTGCTTTCCAGCCACTATTATTGTGAGCCATGGCACCAATTCAGTTCATTAGAAGCAAAAATAGCTCCTAATATGTTCCTGGAGACTAAAAAATGTAGTAGTTTTGGAAAAAAAAGTGTGATTTCTTACTATGCTGAGTTCTCTTGAAGTTATTCTATAAAGTGACACACGATCTTTGAAGTCCTTTAGAAATTGTTTGCTCTTGCCTCAATTGAATTACCATGTCTGTATCAACTTTATATCTTCTGCAGCCACATTGCTTACCTGATCAAAGAGTTGCTTCCCCGTAGTGTTGGGCTGGATGGCAAACTCCAGCTCAGCATCCATGGTCGTAACACGCACACTGATCTGGAAGACAGAGAAATGGATCACTACAACAACATGCTCTAAGTGATGCTACCCAGTAATGAAACCCAACATCTGCCTAAGACCAGTGCCAGCTCTCAAGTCTCTAGGAACTTCAATGCCAGCAATCAGTCTTCTCCTCTACCAGCACGGTGCTGCCAGTTTTCCTGTAGAATATAACTTTCCTGTTTTGCAGTTTGTTTATCCTCTCTGTCCTACAAATATCCACATGTGCTGACACACATGAGAACCATTTAGAGCTTAAGAAGTCTTTCTGATGTCTTTCACAGAAGCAGAGATATTCTAAAACTTGGTACACACAAGTAAACATCCAACCCTTCTATTTGAAGGATGAATGTCAAGGAAGTCTCCAGAAGCATTAATAACTCACCCTGCTACAGAAGACCAGTCAATACTAACAGTACTCTTTCGGTCTCCATGGATATTTGGAGAAATTAAAAGGCACAAGTCCTGCCATACGCCAAGGGCAGTGGGTATAAAGCAGACAGGATGCAAGGATGCCCTCACATACTAAGACAAAAAGGCTGCATGTTGAACTAATATAAGCAGTAATATGTGCAAATACTTCACATAGCAGTAGAACTGCCTACTGCTTTCCAGTTCTTTCAGGGAGGTACACTGCAGGATCGGTTTAGGTGTCATTTAATATTATATGTCATTTAATACTACAGTCAAAATTTCATTACAACATTAGCTTTTGATGCAAGATCATGAATGGCAGCTTTCAACAGCATGTAGTTGTTTTAAGTTCTCTAGGTATACACCTCCCCAAAATTATTCTCCTTAAATCCTAGACCTTGACAATGGGCTAATTTCACAGTGCTTTGGTGAAACAAGAATCCAGTCACTTCCTAGAAGAGCTGAACATTCCCTAAAATAGCTTTGCTACTTACACTTGGAAGCAGTCTCTTCCACTAGAAAGAGGGCTGCCCTCTAATCCTGATTCACCCAGCACCCACCAGCAAAAGCAAAGCTGTCCATAAGCCACATCCAAGTGTAAGAGGGTTTACATTAAATGAGCCATTGAGTAACACATTGCTTTTTGTCCATTTAAAGTATTTCCTGTTCACCTAAAACAGTAACATACGTTACCACAAAAGCAAAATAGTATTTTTGCTCCACTGTTTATGGATAAAGCCCAGGAGCTAGCTACTATTCTCTGGTATCATCTGCGTAGGTGATTGAGGGCCAAGTATCTCAGCACAAAGGAAGCACCAAAAAAACAGAACTGAAACATTTGTGACAACTTCTTGCAACCTGTGCCCAAATAGCTCTTTGAGCTATTTAGAGCAAATCACACCTTAAAATTTAAAATAAAGCTACTTCAGTAACTATCCCCATAATTCACACAGAATACTTAAGAATACTTACTATTAAGACTCCCATCTCTGTTAGTACATTGAAATAAGGTCCCACAGTGGAACCAGCAAAATTCCTTCACTGTTACTAACTTAAATGCTCTTGAGCTATCTGACACAGTATCTCCTTCAATCAGTACATTTAATAGGAAGAGATACACTTCTCCACTAGCCCCCAGTGCTCCAGGTGAGTAACCAACCTAAAGTTTAGGAGCAGCAAAGTTTTGAATGGGTCTGTACTTGCAACTTCAGCCTGATCTAAGACAGCAGAAGCTGAGATACCACAGGAAACAGGCTTGTGCTTTGGAGGACCACACCCAGGTAGTGCTGCTTCCCTGAGCTGAACAGTTTTAACACGTTCAAGAGCACACTGCTGTGAACTGTCAGCAGAATGAGCTGGGGAGAGCACGTCCCGGGCTGTTCCAGGGACATTTTAAGCACGAGCTGTGTAGTAATTTAATTCTTGGCTAAAAAGTTAGTTTGCTAACCTTTCAAACCTGGAACTTTGGAGGAACTCCTTGTTAAGCCTCCTTGGTGTGAAAACAGCTCACAAGGAATTCCCCCCACCCCCCCAGATGCTACCAAGCCAGGGGTGTTTTTGCTCTTCTACTGCACAACCACCATCTCAAAGTGAGGTTTCCACCATTTCAGGTGGTGAGAGGCACTGATCTTAATATGCTCTGCCTGTGGCACAGACAAGCTACAAGAAAAGATCTACAGACTGCTATAATCTCTACCAGACAAGTATGTTGCAGGTACTGCCTGTTTACCTTTATCCTTCTCATTCATTTAAACTCTCAGTTTAAGTAAAACCACTTTACTGAGGCATTCATAGCCAAGTACTGACCAACACAGATGTTATACACAGCAATAAAAATGCTATAGCAAAACAAAGCCAACATGATCCAGTCCCATCAGAATCCAGACTTTTTTGCTTTGTTCCTTGAGAGTTATCCTGCCAAAGCACTTTTCAACCATCTATCTAGTTCACCACCACTGCTTATTTTAAGAAAAGTCTCAAGATTCATCAGCATTAAACTTTTGTATTTTGTATTTCTAAACCATCTAATGAGGTTTTCCTAGGTTAGAGGGCTGGCATAACCACCAGTGTGCTTATAATTTGGGTTGCAAACAAAATAAAATGCTCCTCAATAAGATATTTGACTCAGACTGCTAAGCATATACAAATTTAGTTCTGTCACTCCAGAAAGGTAAGGTGCACAATGTTGAGACCTGCCAGAGAAAAAGACGTTGCTCACCTGTGACTAGATCACAAGGCCTATGGTGGCAGCGCTCATCCCCAAGTATACTACACTCCTACTCCAAAATTTTGTCCTAAACTTTCAACAATCAGGAGGTGTTTTCAGAAGACTTACTGGATTTTATCAACAGATTCAGCAAAAATATTATCCTAGGGCAGTAAATTCATTGAATTTTTTCATCAAAGCATTTATAATGCACTCACTGCTGCATCAAAGTGTTTGCAGTTCTCTAAGTTCTGCGTAGATCCTTAACTATCATAAACTAGTTTTATTATAGTAGGTAGGCTCTTAATAGTCTTGTCTTTCCGACGTCATTTTTTTCCCATACAGACAGCTACGAATATCACATATAAGCTTCCACAGGCAATTTTGCACATTATAGAACAGTCAAGTATCACATTTCAGCAGGCAAATTTACACTCACCAAGCAAAAAAAATAGTCCATATTTAACTGGTTCATTTCATAACAGTTACAGGAAAAAGCTAGAAAACTAGCAACTCTTCCTCTTCTCTATGTAAGGAATTATCATAGTTCTACCAGTCTAAGCACAGCTAAAGCTTGCCACTACCAGAGCATATTAAAGAGTTTCCTGCTGCCAAGGACAGCATTGTGGTGAGTGTGATACCTCCTGCACGTACAGGACCTCTTGCATGTAAGAGACATCCTTCTAGCCCCAGAACAGCTGCAGCCAAACAAAGCCCCCTTTGACAAGCAAAAGCTTTCAGAAGCTATAGGCCACTACCATCCCCTTCTTCCCATGGTGTTCAGAAGTCTACAAAAGAGAGATTTAATAGACAGTGGTACCAAGCACCTATTTGTAGCATTTTTTTCAGATATTTTAATACTGCCGTATACCTTGAAGTCTCACTTTCTGCCCCACTGAGACTCTAAATAAGTTTTACTAGTAGCAGTTATTGTCAGGTATCTGACAGGTTTTTGAGTGAGTCCTACTAACAACGTGCTACGACAACTTCCTAAGATGAAAATGCGTAGCTGCATATGGCAGGATAAACAGGAAAGACTAACACCACCATGCTCAGTAACGGATGTGTTGCTTACACTAATTCAGCAGCACGCTGAGGAGTGTGAGCGATAGAACAGACACTTCTGTTTGTCATAAGTTGAGACAAGAATAGAGTACTAGGAAATTCATGCCAGAATAATGAGTAGAGTCAGCACAACAGAGTATCGACCTCTACAAAACCCTGACCCTGAGCTAAAGTTTCTTTCCTCCTTGCATTTCCTGAATGCAAGGAAGCTGTGATACCCTGCTGGGCTATATGCTTCAACCTTCAGATACTCCTGCTTCCCAGGTTCAAGCCACCAAGTGAACTATTTCTGGAGAAAGTGGCACGGGGTAAACTCATACTTTATTGCAAATTTGACTGTTACAGAACAGAAGCAAGTTCAATTAAAAAGAAATTCCAGACCAACCTTTGTAGCCTCTGCACTATAGGGCACCAGTTTACCCAGCAGCTACTGCATGTGAAGACACTAAACAAATACCATGCATCAGTTCCAAGAGGTCTAGGCAGAGAAACAAATCCAGCTGCAGTTGCATGAACTCAAGATCTCATAAGGTACCTTAATAATCTAGAAACCTCCCCAAGTTTCAGCTTTCAGCAAGATTAAAAACAATACAGTAAGTTTAACAAGAATTGTCCCCCTGTTTCTCAGAACAAGCAAGTAAAATCTGAAGTATGAATGATCCCCAGTCCTGTACTTCCCTTCCCACCATGCTGGTCAGCCAACACAGGCCCACACAGCAGGGCATAGCATACCAGTGCTTAGTGCTTTCCACTACCTCGGAGGGGCAGCAGAAGTGATGCCCCACACCTCCAGCACCCACCATACTCACAGACATCTGGCTCTTCCTGCGTGCAAGCACCCTGCTGAAACAGCCCTAGGTCCTCTGTGTCAGGAGGAGGCTGGAATCAGGTCATGTGAAAGTACTTGCAATTTCTCAAGGGATTATACTTAATTAACCAAGCCCCCTTCCACCAGTCTTAAAGGGCCTTTTTATACCTCTAAGCTCATCAGGGAACAGAACAGCAGTAGTGACACCACACTGGAGCCCCCAGAGGGAGGTTAACTCTCCCAGCAGCTCCTGTGAGCTTCCCAGCTCTCTTCTTTGTCCCCATCCTGCTCCACAGGGGACACAGCACTTCTCATTTGACTGGAGAGTAGGGAAGGGAATAAATCCACAGGAGGTGTCCCATCCCACCCCACTATGGCAATTTAAATTAGGCCATCACCATAGGAGAAAGCTTGCCCACCTTTGATATACTCAGTATCTGTGAGCCAGAAGTAGGACTTACATCCTATATAGTGTGTGGCTTTCTTTTGGTACCTAAGTAAAACCTGTAGCAGGACTTCACC